CTACACAGTGATTGACAGGTCTCTACCACGGCGTTGTCCGGTCTGGGGGTCGTCTGTGTTTTCATCCTACGACTTTATCACCCTAAAAACGTCTTCTTCAGTGTTTAGTTGTACTTAGCTCCACCTTCTCGTGTCACTCATGGTTCTAAAAAAACAAACCAAGATGGCGACGGACAAAATGTCAAACTCAAGACTTCAAAACGTAACTGGTGACGCCACGACGTCCACCATTCTCTGGTTTTGAGCCTCCTCACAAACACTAACCTTTCTCTCCTCTGCTGCTCCTCTCCAGACGGTGCCGACCGCACATCCACCATATGAACCGAGGACCTGAGTGAGAGCGGTCGGACGGCGCTGGTTCACGAGACTCTCTCTCCATGAGTCACCTGGAAGTCCCCCCCATCCCCCACCCCCACCCCGAGAAACACGAGAGAGAGAGAGAGAGAGAGAGAGAGAATGAGAGAGAGAGAGAGAGAGAGACGACCGTCAAAAACGGCCAACGCAGGAGATCCCATCGGCACCGTCCACCCGAGTCGGGAAAAAGAACACACTTCTTGCTCCGCCAGCATTGAACCGTGTGTGAACGGGTCCAGCAGAAGGGAGGTGCTGGCCTGTGGATCAGGGCCCTCTGGTCCCCCCCACCCACCCCCCGCACATGGACCACAGCTTTGTGGAGTCCTTCAGACCCATAACAGTACCTCAGACCCCAAAACAAGACGAGCGGAGCCAGGAGGATGTTTTCACAGAGGACTGAGCGCCCGGCAAGGATCCTCGTACAGCTCAGAAAGGCCTCTTGCCAAGCAAAAAAAAAAGTCATGTATTTGTATTGTATGTATTTATTGTTTACATAATGATGCTACTTTCAAAAGGGTACAGAAACATGTTTGAATTTCGGGTATGAGTCGTGTCATATTCTGTAAAGTCTTGGCCGCCCACCAGCTTTACATCCCACGAGTAGCCAGTTTACAACCAACGTGCTAATACTTTATTTTAGCAGCCAGCAGCAAAAGACATGCTGGCCTGGAGAGAGGAGGAAGAGGAGGAAGAGGAGGAAGAGGAGGAGGAGGAGGAGGCGGCGGTAGAGCAGATGTGTGAGGAGGGGCTGAGGAGGAAGAGGTTGAGAAAGACACAGGAAGTAGCAGAAGAAAGAATCAAGCTGAGGTGACGCTGGAAAAGGAAGCGGATGTTTTAAACGGAGAAAGACATCAGAGGCGGGACCTTTGATTGGACATAGATGACTGAGGATGATGATGATGTCATGTGGGCGAGTGTAGGAGGACGTGAGTTTGGCTCCGGTCAGTTCCATATTGTTCATCCGCAGCATGTACTGTATGAACTCTTTGAATTCAGAGCCCTTTGTAGGCACCATACGTTGAAAATGTAGGTTTCATGGTTGTTGTTTTTTTACACACGTAAATGGGAGATTAATATCTGCACGTTCAGACGCTGGGCTCATGTTTCTTCTTCTTCTTCTGAAGCTGGGTGATGTTTCACAGCTGCATGTTACTACTAAACGTCTTCCTCGGAGGACGGGAAGATTGTGAAATGTTGGGAAGAAGATGGCAGGAAAAAAAAAAGCAAACGCACGTTTGGTTTCCACTGGACCGTGTCACAAACGCACGTCAGTCCATGAAGGGGAGTTTCTCCCAGAGACTGTCTCGTTGGTGCTCATCGCCACCTGCTGGTGGGACCCGGTCACGACGGGCAGAACGCTGGAACATCAGTGATGAGCGTTCGTGTAACACAAGGAAGTTATTCTTTCTTTTTTTTATTCTGAATCTCATGGTTATTGTGTCTTAATATTTATCCTCAGTTTATTGTGTCTGGACTACAGACTTTATAAAGATATTTGGGTTTATATGAAATAAGCTGGTTAGGAAACTCCCCTCTGTGCCGCTTTCAACTGAGCATGTGCGCCGATAGTGCTGACCTCTGATTGATCATTATTATTGTTGTTATTGTTTAGTTTCTGTCATTAGTCTGTTGCAATTCTCTAGTAAACTTCCTTTGTATCCTGCACTTGATGTAATAATGTGATACACTAAAACCCCAAATGTTCAAGGCTGAAGAAACAGTTTAAAGCAAAGGTTCAAATCTCTCCTGGTGTCACTAGAAGGACCTCTCCAGAGTTAGTGCAGGTTCTAGCCCGTTCACCACAGTTTAAACACACATTACATCACCATCTACTCGTTATCTTTTTACAACCTTTCAGGTTCTTTATCAGAATGAACTCGTATAGTTGCGACGCTTCATGAGAGAGTTCATTCATCACAATGAGTGCAGGTTTCTTTTGTTGTTTTGTTAAAGGTCTGCACCTACAAATGAATGTGCCGCATGATGTTTGTTGCGATGGTTCACCTTCTCAAAGCAAACTTCAGGTTTCAAATCATAATGGAAACTACTAGCTACCTACAGGTTTGAATATAGGAATCCAAAACACTACAATACATCTTAGATAGTAAGACATTCAGTGTGTGACCTGTGTTAAAGGAGCCGTGTGGCGGAGTTAGAGGCAGCGAATGGTTGAAATGTAACATGATATTCATCATTTTCATTGGTGTAAAAACACCCGAAACTTAAGAAAGAGACCTTCTTATCTACACAGGGAGGCGGAGTCCGCCATGCTTCTACGGAAGCCCAGAACGGACAAACCAAACACCGGCTCCAGAGAGAGACTTTGATGTTTTTAGGTTACCTAAAGGCCACCGTAGTTCTCCACGCGTGTGGAGGAGTAAGCGAGGAATGTTCACTTGGTTGCATTCTGCAACTTGACCACTAGATGTCACTAGATCCTCCACAACGACTCCTTTAGAGGGACTAAAACATGCGGACATTCTGTGGAGTTGCCTTTATAGAGACGGAGCTGGTTAAGCCCCGCCCACACAGCTGATCAATCCGTACTTAAAGTAGATCCAATTATTTATTCTGTTTTTGTCTTTCATTGCAGAGGTGATACTTTTACTCATTTTAGGTGTTTTCTTATTTAAAGTACCATATGTATTAACATGTTATGGCTGGTGACCATACGTACATCTCAAATATTAACATAGTCGTTGTTGACTTTGACTTCTTTTTATTGTTGAATTATAATCTTGTTTGTAACCATCATCAGTGTCATGTTGGTGAAACGTAGCTTCATGTTCGGTTACAAAACTCACGTCGGACGAGCTGTCGGCAGATAAACCGGCAGCGTGTTGTTGTTGTTGTCTTTGGCAGACCAGGATCTGATCTGGAGTCTGAACTTTCACCACCTCACTGTTACGGTCCTGAGAGGTTTCACCGGGTGTTGCTCTCAATGGCGCGGCTGGCTTTGTTCTATATTCGTCTTATTGTCAACTTAACCCCCCCCCCGAAGACAAAACGACTAATTCAACAGCTCGTGACTTCCTGTCTGAGTCACTGAATACTGAAAGACTGGTCGCATTTGGTCATATTTTAAGAGTTTTTCCTAGAACAGCTGCTCGCTGTAGTGTTTATCAAACAAACTGGAGGAAATAGTTCAGCATCTGTTGGGGACTATTTTCAGCGGCGGAATGATCCACATTTGGTGCTCTAGTGAGTGTTTGTGTGATGAGTCAGAATGAACTACAGAGTGATGATGATGGTGGTGATGAAGCTCACTGATGTGTTTTTAATTGAGATTGATCCGGCTTGAGATGCGTTCACTGTCTGCTCCTTTCGTGGGATTTGTTGGCGTTAAGAAAGGTAGAGAACATCACCGGACTGCTGTCGGTGATGTAGTCAAAGGGATTATTGAAACTCTCGTACTTTTTGCAGTATTTTGATGTACTTTGATGTGACGTTGCCATGTTTGAGTTCTAAAGGCGTCGATACAAAGTTCAGGAGATTTCTTTCACTTTCTCGTCTGTGACTGACGGCGTTTAATTACGTTTAGCTGAGAAAAGTTACTAACGTTCAGAGAGACACGGGACGTCAAACCAAATGCTTTATTGTTTTTATTATTTTAATTTGTGAGTGCATATGAGCTGTGAGGGTTGAGAGCTAACGCTGTGCACACTGCAGTATTAATAGTTAGAGAACGCCGTGATATTCCAAAAACATGTAATGTACTTGTATGCTGTTTTGTATCTTTCTTTTCTGTCCTAGATTCTGCAGTTTTAGTCGATTTATATCGATGTGGGATGCCAAGACCTTTTCTCTTTTCTTTATTTTATTTTGTAAATCCAGCAGCATCCGTTGTGTAACAAAGTGTTACCGCTTGACTGTGCTCCTTTATTTCATCTAGTTTTATTTTATCAAAGAGCCGATGTCCTGTATTGACTGCAGGCTTACGTATATATTTGACAAAAGAATATTGTATGTTTAATAATAAAAAAAACTCAAAGGACAAAACATTTGAAGAAAATGATGAAAACAGAAGAAAGTTGAGGAGTGGATTTAGAACAAAGTGTAATTTATATGTGGGGAGTCATATGTGGAATAACTAACGGCGGTGCCTTTCTTTGTACTCGAGACATTCACACAAACGTAAATGTTTTTACAGACGTTACAGAAGAACCGGTCGAGTCGTCACGTTCACACTGTTTATTAAGTTCCTGTTTGATCCTCGTTTACACGTAGAAACACCACAGAAGAAGAATAACTTCTGTCTCCTAACTTCACGAAACTGATCACAGGAAATACATAAAGATGATTCATCTAGTTTGTGTTTGAGGAGACGACGACGGGGCGGCAACTGATAACATAACAATATGCAGATTATTGATTAATTAATTATTCATGTGTGTGTGTATGACAGTCAGAGTGTGTGTGTGACAGTCAGAGTGTGACAGTCGGAGTGTGTGTGTGTGTGTGTGTGTGTGAGACAGTCAGTGTGTGTGTGTGTGACAGTCAGAGTGTGTGTGTGTGTGTGAGACAGTCAGAGAGTGTGTGGGTGAGACAGAGTGTGTGTGTGTGTGTGTGTGTGTGTGTGTGACAGTCAGAGAGTGTGTGTTTGTGTGTGTGAGACAGTCAGAGAGTGTGTGTGTGTGTGTGTGTGAGACAGTCAGAGAGTGTGTGTGTGTGTGTGTGTGAGACAGTCAGAGAGTGTGTGTGTGTGACAGTCAGAGTGTGTGTGTGTGTGACAGTCAGAGTGTGTGTGAGACAGTCAGAGAGTGTGTGTGTGTGTGAGAGTCAGAGTGTGTGTGTGTGTGTGTGTGAGACAGTCAGAGTGTGTGTGTGTGTGTGACAGTCAGAGTGTGTGTGTGTGTGTGTGAGACAGTCAGAGTGTGTGTGTGTGTGTGTGTGTGAGAGTCAGAGAGTGTGTGTGTGTGTGTGTGAGACAGTCAGAGTGTGTGTGTGTGTGAGACAGTCAGAGTGTGTGTGTGACAGTCAGAGTGTGTGTGTGTGAATACATTCTAGTGTGTTTCGATGTGTCTTGCTAGTAGTGTTTGTGTGGACGTACCAGAATGCTGTGACTTAGCATGGCCCCCCCCCCCCCCTCCATAATTAATATGTTAAAGTTCACCTGAATCTGCAGGTTTAAAAAACATTTTTACTTTAAATGTCAAAGTTTGACGTCACGGGAAGCAAAAGAAACATTTTGAGGCCCCGAAATTTAGACGAAACTACTTTTATCAAAACTTTTAAAAACTTTGAGCGGTTCTTTGATAGTTTCCAACACTAAATGTAGAATTCTGTTCATATTATATCTGAGTGCAGGCCTACTTCTTCCTCCACTGAAAGTACTAATACCACACTGAAAGTACTCCACTAAAGTGCTAGTCTGAGTAGTAGACCTGCATTCAAAACATTTCTGAAGTAGAATTATGTAGTCTAAGTATTACCAACAAAATGTACTGAAGTATAAAAAGTAAAAGTATTCATTCTGTTTGTGAGAAACTGAAGCATGAAATGTTTTTTTATGTCTTGAAAAAATCCTCCAACTTCTTCAACAAAATTTAAATAAACGAGAGTCCTGCAGCTCCGCCGTGCGGCTGACGTTGGTATTACATCACAGTGACGTCACCCACGTAAACCTGAACTGCACTTAAAACACAAAATAATCATAAAAAGGAGGAAACTGCATTTAAGTTTGGTTATCTGCGCGCATTACTATTTTATTATATGAATGAATAATTTTTTTAATGAATTAGAAATATATTTATTAAATTAATAGGTTTGTGGGTATTAAGATGTATGTATTATATATATGATAGAGAAATATTTAAATAATATTTTAGTATTTAAAAACATTTTTTAAAGGTTTATATTTTATATTTTTAATATTTTTAAAAATATATTTGTCAGATTTCATCTGTCACGTCTCTCACGTAGCGGACTGGAAACCGGAAGTTGAAGGTGACGTGACGCCACCGCCTTTCAGCGCCTCGAGCCCGGATCCTCCTGAAACTGCTCTCACATTGTATATTATTATATGTTATTATATATATATATATATATATATATATGTTATATATTATAAGACGGAGGTCGTGATGAAGCTGCTGCTCCTCCTCCTGTTCCTCCAGGTGCCCGGATGTGCGGACAGCAGGTGCTTCTGTCAGGTGAGCGAGTTTATTTAAAGTATCTTCACCTGTTGCTGTAAGAGGAGCGTGCGCGTGCGTGCGTGTGTCGGTCGCGAGACCGAAGCAGGAAAAGTTGCATTGTTCCAAAAACATAAAAACACATGTTATATATGATAATTATACATGCTTTTTAAATAGTGGTGGGAGGTAACTAAGTACATTTACTCAAGTTCTGTACTCATTCTGAGGTACTTGTATTTTACTTGAGTATTTCTGTTGTGTACCACTTTATACTTCTACTTTACTACATCTCTGAGGCTAATTTGTACATGTTGTACTCCATTACTTATGTGACAGCTTTAGCTACTTTACAATTTATTTATTTTTTGTACACAAAACAGAAAATAAATTGTTTTTATTTGTTCCAAATGTGAAGATTTGCTGCTTTTCATTTAATTATTTGAATTAATTTTTAACTCTTTAGGTTTGTGTCCTCCCATTGGCTGGACACTACCAATGACATGATGTACAAGTACCACATCACAAGTAGAAGTCATTCATTTATAATCTGAAAGTACAGAAGCACTACAACCATAACGTACTCAAAGCATCAAAAGTTAAAGTACTTGATCTGTGAATTATGAATTAATATATATTTGAGATGATGGTATTATTAATCCTGATGTTTTGTCTACATGACTCCAGTGAAGTTTAGTTCAGTGGTTTCCAACCTAGGGGTCGGGGGTCGGGGCCCTCCAAAGGGTCACCTCATAAATCTGACGGGGTTGTGAGATGATTAATGGGAGAGAAGAAGAAACTAACTTGTGATATATATATATATATGTGTGTGTGTATACATAAAGTTACCGGGTGTTCCTGTCCTACACGACGTAAACCAATCACGTCCTGGTCGGGTGGGACAGGAAGTGGACCCTCGTTAGATTGGATCCGGTTCTCCGTCCTCTGCAGGTCTCAGGAGATCTGGACGACTGCACTTGTGACGTGGAAACCATCGACGGCTTCAACAACCACAAACTCTTCCCCAAACTTCAAACTCTTCTGGAGTCAGACTACTTTAGGTTCTACAAGGTGAGACGCACACACACACACACACACACACACACACTCTGATACTGAGGACTCGTGTCGATGGTCTGCAGGTGAACCTGAACAAGGTGTGTCCGTTCTGGAGGGTCGGAGGTGACTGTGGTCTGAAGGACTGTGCTGTGAAGCCCTGCTCTCCTGTGAGTTCATCTACCTGAACCTAAACACACTCACCTGTATTCACATCACTCAAACTCTGATCTCTGCCAAACAGAACCAGGTTCCAGAGGGGATCAGATCCTCCTCCCAAGACCAGGTGAGTCAGTCCGGACCAGCTGCGTCGGGTTTGTTTTTTAAAATCAGAATAAGTATTTTAAACAACTTATTTTTGACGTTGTCCATAAGAATCCCTAAATCCACCCGATTTTTATTTATGTAACAAATGAGTAACTTTGGGATTATGACAAACATTTGTGATTTATAGTCAGTAAGTAACATAACAAACAT